TTTGAAGTGCCAAGAGCTCATAATGAGAGTGCATATTCATACACACTGGAGCATAGCATTGTATCCCACTGAAGATGGGTATAATTATGATTAGGAACAGTATTGCAATCTTCTAAATATTTACAATGGCATAAGCACCACTGAACTTGTAAGGGCCTCATAAAACATACTGATCTTCTTTGGCCAACTAAAATGCAACCTTTGGCTCTTTTAATTATAAATGCAGGCAACCTTGCAGGGAAATATTGCTAGAATGAAATTTGAACGAAAGCTACAGTAGCACCGCTGTATCTGTTGTCTCATTTACCATGATGGTTTCACTTAACGGTGATTGACTAGAGCCATCCATGTTTGTGGGGGGTTAGGGGCATGTGGCCCTCATGAAAGTGGAAAAACCAGGACTATCTCTAGAGTCTTTGCATCCACTGAGAGACAAAACATATGAGTGAGGCTGACTGGTGCTGTGACAGAGTGTGGCATCCCCAAACAGAGTCCATAGAGATAGTCATTTTTTCCCATTTTTGTTGGAATCCTACACCCCTAACCCCTATGAATGTGGAAGGCTGACTGTACAGTATACCATGTTGGCTACTATCTGTGCCTTCGGGCATCTGCTGGGTGGCTTGGAACCTACCTTCCGTGGATATGGGGTCTTACTGTAATTATTTACATGTGTTAACAGAGCCTTCGTGCTTTGGGAAGACATATCTGCTACACAGGATGTGCGATTTTGTATGGATGTTTTACTCTGAAACAAGGCCTGAAGAAAGCAAGGGGGCTTTGTGCCAATTTCAAGCAAAAGAAAGGAAAACCCAATTACACTGGTATAAAGATGGCATTCTAGTCCACTGAGACTTAGTTACAGCAATTGTTGTTTAAGACAAAAATGCTGGAGAGGATGTGAAATGATTAATACATGGTGGCTTTTCTCCAGAATTAGCCAATTTTGGAAAATTTCTATCTCAAAAAGTAAATATAGTCACAGACCAGAAAAATGAATCCAGCCCCTAACTATCTATCTATCTATCTATCTATCTATCTATCTATCTGCTAATTATCCATATTTAACAGATAAAACAAAACTTTTAAACATTCAGGACTTTTGATATTCATATGGGTGGCAGCTTGATAAGCAATACCATACCTTGGGAAAAGTCATTATTAAGTTCTTGTTCAATATGGAGAACTAAACTTTAGTCCATTGGTTTGATGGAAAAATTAACTGTTAGGATCTGAACTTGAAACATGCACAAACACAGGTGTTTGGGTCTGAACTTGAAGCATGCATGCTTCAGATTCAGAGTCCCAGCTCCAACCTCTGAGCAAGTTTCCAAGACTGCAGCTGAGCCTCCAAACTGCAAGGACTCCAAGGACTGCATATGAAATATGTTTGTTGTTATGTGCCATCAAGTTGTCTCCAACTTATGACAAGCCTATGAATGAAAACCCTCCAAGGGTCCTATCCATGATGGCTCCGCTCAATTAAATATGTATCTATACCTATATATGCATATATGAAAATGCTGCTATCAGTAAAAAACAATTATGCATAACCTTCTAGAAAGGCAGACCGTATCCATATAGCAAACCATTCACAACTACTTAGAGGCTACCTGCAAACAGTAACATTGGGGAAGATATATTGACCTGAATAAATTATAATAAATATGGTCCATATGTAGATACAAAGCTATATTCAACTTTATTATGCATATTTTAACAGCCTATGAATTATACATTGGCATTTATTATGTGTATGCAGTTTATCTAGTGCTTAATAGTTTTTCTTAACAGTAAGGGTTAAAGAACAGAACAGGAATAAATGCTAAATGTTCGTAATGGAGGGAGGTAAATAGTGGTGTCCCATAGGGATCTGTACTGGGACCGATGCTTTTCAATGTAATCATATATTATATGGAATTAGGAGTGACTAGTGGAGCAGCTTAGCTATATAACTTATATGCAGAGTAAATTATGTAAAAGGCCAGGCTAGATGAATCACAAATAGGAATTAAGATTGCCGGAAGAAATATCAACAACCTCAGATACGCAGATGATACCACTCTAATGGAAGAAAGTGAAAAGAGCCTCTTGATGAGGGTGAAAGAGAGCACAAAAGTTGGCTTGAAACTCAACATTAAGAAACCTAAGATCATGGCATCTGGTCCTATCACTTCCTGGCAAAGAGATGGGGAAGAAATGGAGGTAGTGACATATTTTATTTTCTTGGGTTTCAAGATCATCGCAGATGGGGATTGCAGCCAAGAAATTAAAAGACGCTTGCTCCTTGGAAGGAAAGCTATGGCAAATCTAGACAGCATACCAAAAAGCAGAGACATCACCCTGCCGACAAAAGTGAGTGTAGTCAAGGCTATGGTTTTCCCAGTTGCAATGTATGGCTGTGAGAGTTGCATTGTAAGGAAAACTGAGCACCGAAGAATTGAGGCCTTTGAATTGTGGTACTGGAGAAGACTTCTGCGAGTCCCTTGGACTGTAAAGAATTCAGATTAGACGATCTTAAAGGAAATCAGCCCTGACTGTTCTTTAGAAAGTCAGATATGAAAATGCAACTCAAATACTTTGGCCACTTAATGAGAAGGAACAACTCGCTGGAGAAGACCCTGATGCTGGGAATGATTGAAGGCAAAAGGAGAAGGGGATAGCAGAGGTTGAGGTGGCTGGAGGGGGTCACTGGGGTGGTCGGTGGGGGCGTGGGTGGTCTCTGAGTGATGGTGGAGGACAGGAGAGCCTGGAGGAATATTGTCCATGGGGTTGTGAAAGGTTGGACACAACTTAGCAACTAAACAAAAATACTGAAGTAGCCAATTATTTAACATGGTTAAAACAAAAAGGAATTGTCAGGAGCTCCAACATGGTCTCTTCAGACAGGGAGAATGGATATCAGACTGTGAAATACAGTTCAGTGTAAGCTTGTCAGGGGGAAAAAATCCCAATTTCATGTATATGCTGGTACAATTGCAGCTAGTAGTGACTGGCCAAGAAAAAAATTGATGAAAATGTGTAATGTGGTCATTGTAAAAAAAAACCAAATTTCATGTTACATATATGTAATTAGAAAATGAATCGAAAGTAAACTTGCCAGTATAGTGTTGAATTGGGAATTTGGCAGACCTGGGTTTTAGTCCCCACTCAGCCATGACCCTCTCTGGGGAACTTTGGGCCAATTGTTCACTCTCAGCCTAGCCTACCTCCCATGGTTGATCTTGGGAGTGGAGTGGAGTGGACTATGTAAGCTACCTCGGGTTCCTGACAAGAGGGGGGAAAGGCAGAATATAAATCATGTGCAATAAAAATATCATACTGCCCTTATACATATCAGCAGTGCAACACACTTAGAATACTGTATACATCTGGTCATCAAAACTAAAATGGGAATTGTAGAATTGGAAAAAAATGAAGAAAAGGGCAACTAAAATGACTGAAAGTTTACAACATCTGAAAATGTTTAGCAAAGAAAAGAGTAAGACACTGCATATTGTCATGCATATTGTGGAGAAAGTGAAGCATTTTTGTCCCCCTCTCACAATGCTGACAGGTGGGAGAGTTGGGACACAGAAAAGGAAATACTTCTTCACACAGGCTCAGTAAAACTATGGAACTGACTTCCATGAGATGGAGTGATGGCCTCCAATTTGGGAGTTTTTAAAAGCATTTGGGCAGATTCCTGGAGAAGCCACTAGTCCTGATGGATATGGTGTTGCACTCATGAGCTGTGGACGCTGGGTGTCCAATTGTGTGACAACTGTGTGGTCTGGCTGTGCCTCAGTCAGACCCAGCACCGTCCTACTAGTGTTCTTCAAATGAACTGTACCAACTCAGTATGGAAAATTAATAGAAATGATCAGGCAAAGTTATATATGCTAACTGCTATGCTTCTGTGCTGAATAATGGCAATGGTAACTTGGTTTTATTCTTCTAATTAAATGTTGTGTGTCTTTTAGCACTTAATTTTAATTTTTGTTAACCACCCAGAGAGATTTGGCTATTGGGTTATTCATTCATTCATTGAAATAAATAAGTAATCTGGATAAGCCTCTTAAAATTATAGAAATGACCATATTTATTTACTTATTATTTATTATATTCATGCCCGTCTTTCTTCAAAGGAGCCAAAAGCAGTCGACACCATCCTCATAATCTTCCTCTTCTCCATTTCATCTTCACAACAACCCTGTGAGGTAGGTCAGGGTGTAAGATACAGGGACTGGCCCAAAGAAGCGTCATAGCCATGCGGAATTTGAACCCAGGTCTCGCCAGCCCTACTCCAACATTCTTATCCACCTCACAACAAAGGGGTAAGGACATGAAGGGGCAACCCCGTGCCCGTTCAGACGGCACCGACAGCTCCTCGCAGTCCTGCGAAGAGTGGCGGGGCTTTTCTTTTCATAGGATTGTGCCCCGACTCTAAGCGCACCGCCCTTCACAGAGAAGAGGTCCGACAGGTCTCTGCCCCGAGGGGCGTGCAGTCCTAAGCAGATCCTGTCGGGAAACCCGGGAGGAAGGGCCGCCCGCGTGTGAAAGGGAGGCGTGGGTAAGGCTGCAGCGGGAGAAGCTGCGGTGCCCCTCCGAAAGCCCCTCTGCGCGGTGAGCGGCCGCGGCGCGCGGTGCCCCGGCTCAAGGGGCGAGGGGACCGGCCTGGCACCGCGCGCCGTTCGGCGGCACAGAAGGGGTTGCTGCTCGCTCCTCGCTCGCTCCTCCTCCTGCAGCCGCCGCTGCCAGGAGCCGAACCTTTTCCATAGGCTGCTGCTGCCGCCGCCGCCGCCGCTTCTCTGAGCTGCGCCTTCCCTCGCGGGCTCGCCAGGCCTGGCGGAGGCGGACCGACGCGCGCCTCGCCGGACCCAGCGGCCGCTTCCCGGGAGCCGCATCCCGCCGCGCTCTCCGGGCTCGGACGGGCCCCCGAGCGCGCCGCGCGCCCCCGCCTCTCGCGCCCCTTCGCGGTCCGAGGCGCGCCGCCGCCCCCTCCCTGGCTTCCTGTTGGGGCTGCGCAGTCTCGGCCCCGGCAAGGCGCGGGGGCTGGGGCTGGGCCGGCCCGGCCCGGCCCGGCCCGCTTGGTACCGGGCGGGTTACTATGGAGAAGCGTCCGGCAGGACGAGGGAGAAGCCGCCCTACAAGGTGAGACCGCGTGGGGAGACGCCGAGGGGAGCGCGGCGTCCTGGGGGTTTACGGCAGGATTTCGCGGCCGGCCCCCGGAGAGATGGGCACGGCGGTGTCCCCCAGCCCCGCGGCACCGTTGGCTCCGCAGCCGGCCCGCCTGCCCGCTGGGGAGGAGCGCCCGAGCTGCGCCTGGGATTTCCAGGTCGGCCAGTTCAAGTTGCGCCCGGTGGAAAAGGACGCGGGGGCGCCTGTGCGCGAGGCGCTGAAAGGGTCCGGGGCTTAGGCCCCGCGGGACGGCATTTGCACATGCTAATTTAGCTAAAGTGGCGGCGTGCGGGTCTGTGGGCACGCCATCGGGAGAGCGGGAGAGGAGGGCATTGATGGGGGGACGGGCAGAAAGACTGAAGCGGGGGGGGGGGGGAGGGGGGGGGGGGGGGGGGGGGGGGAAAGGGGGGGCTGGGGAGAAAGGGTGGAGGGGGGGGGGGGGGACAGCTGGAGGGGAAGGGCGTGTGGGTAAAAGGCCAGCTAATCCAGGGGCATGAAGTGCCACGGGGATGCCCAGCGCCCCCTACCCTTCCTTCCGCAAGTGTGCCTGGACAGCGGGCGGCGGGCGGCGGCGGCCTCTGGAAGATTTGGGGCGCCAGCCTTGGTGGGCTGGCTTTATCCTTCGCTCCCGAAAGGACGCCTCGCCCCGCAACCTGCCCCTCGCCGCTGGCATGTATCCCCCTCTTAGCCAAAGGCTGGTGCGCTGGGCTCGTGGAGCCCCGCTTTTTACGTTGTCTCCCCCTTCCCTCCGCCGAGCCCCTTCCTCCCTTAAAGCCCCGCTGCCCCATCTCAACTTTTACTGTCCGTCCGCCCTTTCCCCTCCTTTCCCATAACGGCGGCGCCTCCTCCTGCCGCCCACCCGCCCCCGGCCGCTCGCAGTGCCAAGAGAAAGTGGCTCCCAGAGCAACTCGGTGCCTTGATGCCCAGCCAAAGGCTCGGCGAGGCGACAGGAGAAGCAGCGCCCCGTCGGCCGCTTCCAAGAGCGCATTCTCCGCTGCCCCGCAACGTCGCGCCTGCCAACCCCTCCGGAGTAGTTTGGCCAGCTGCCGCCGTTGCGGGGGTTTGTTTCCCTCCCTCCCCCCTCTTTTTTCTCCGATCCCCGAATCGCTCTGGCTCTATTCTGATCATTTCTTTTCCGATTCACCAGCTACCTGCGTGGATAGACTGACGGATAGACTAGCTGTAAAAGCGGCTGAACCCCTCCCGGGCTATTGAGAATTGCACCCTTGTTGCTTTCTGTTGTGATGGCTTGCTGGTCAGGTCGTGCTGGGGATGTAAAACGTGGATCCCTGTTAGGGTCTTTCTTTCTTGTAACGTCTGGGAATTGTGGAGGGGTGTTTTGTGTCACCATAGCTGTGGGATGCAGCTGAAGTATGACATATTGGAGAGAATGAGGCAGACGAAAATGATTCAGATCCATTCATGTTTGTCCTGGTGTTTTCCTTTCCTTTTCTGTTGTAGGTTTTTTTTAGTTGCTCCTTGAGAAGGCCTGTGGAAGTGGTACTGGAAAAACCTCTGGTGAAAGTGGTGTAAGGTCATTTCCTGTGGCTTGTGGGCTCTGACAGCAGGTCTCAGGATTTGTGAAGGTGGTTTCCTGGTGATTTTGTGAACCGGTTTAAAAACATGACAGCTGGTGAAATTTTGAAAACCTATCCCTCTAGTCAGTAGCCCTTGCTCTTAAACGTAGGTGCACCTACGTTTCTTGGCCTATCCAAAATGCCTTGTGCTGTACTTAGGCCACGTATACAGTTAAAGTTTTTGGAGAACTGAATGTATATTCACCTTTATTTTATTTGACTGACAGGCTGTCCTTCAATATGTTCTTGGACCCACTTAACAGAAAGTTAAAATTGTTATGGAACAAATGGTGAGGAAAAAAAATTCAAACCACTCTAAATACCAGGATATAAACCAGTGATATCAAAGTAGTCAGCAGAAAATGAAATAAACTGCTTTGTAGTTTGCATTTCCTTAGGGAGGCTTACCTGGAACTTCACTTAATGCCTTTTTGGCACGAAGCAAAGAGCTTAAAAAATCCTTCCTAGGACTTTTAAATCGTTCTATATGTTGCTTTTAAGTTCCTTGTCTCAAAATGCTGCTGTGGCAAGGTAATCAATTGCCCTGGCATACCTGTTAAGGTGTTTTTTCTTCAGTGGCCAAACCTTTACTTTCCATTCCCAGAAGGCACCTTAGAGCTTGCATTGTGTCCTATACGTGAATGCAGGACAAAATGTAACAGAGAGAACTTTACAGTAGATATGCTTCTAGTCAGTGTAAATATTAACTTCACATTTTAAAAGTAATGACTGAGAAGGGACATCTTATTTTAAAATGTACCCATTTATGCAGTAGACCTAAGGAGGTGTTAAAGAATAATACAATAGAGAAGCAAAAACAGCTTCCAAAAACAAAATAATGCCTCACTGATCCTGTCTCTACCACCAAATGTGTTGGGGCAACATCTGAATTATCCCTCTATGGACCCAAATGTAAAAAAACCCAAGACGTTTTCCCCACATACATTTCACTTATTAAAACATTGATATTTGTGACTATCAAACTCCTGTTTCAGCTATAAAACCTTGAACCACTGTTGCTAAAATTCTGTTGTCTGTAAGTTTTAGAAATCCAAGAGTCTGTTTCATCTGGTTTGTATATGGCATGGCCCAACCATAAGAGAGATGATGAAGATATATACAAAGAAAGTTATGGACAAAAGAGAATAGAGCATTGTTTTTCAGATAGGGTAGGATTGACAGTAAATGACATCTGTGAATCATTATAACTTATCTTTTAAATCTGTCTTGTATTAATAATTAGCTCAGTAGAGATTTCTTTGATAATTTATGCCAAAATGCGTATGACTTTCCTTTAATTTAGATAAATTATACCATTTATATACCAATTTTCCGTTCAAGACAGGCACAGGATGGTTTCCAACAACAAACTAACTAAAGTTAGTTGCCTAACAACAAAAAGAAAAGTTTATAATGCAAGAAAACATGTGCATAATTAGAACAATATGTAGCAGATAAGAACAACCATAGAAGGCTCTTAACTACAGAATGCCTATAGAAATAACACTGTCTTGTGCCACTTAACAATACTCAGGAGCCCAAATACATCTTTGTGAGGGAAGCCGTTCTTAATTGCAAATTAATACTTAGTTAATTCTCATCAACTAATTGGGAGCTAACTGTCAGTGGTGGGGATATAAGAAGGTGGATGGAATTCCTGGATGGATTCATATGCGATGCAACAATTCCAGAGAAACCCTGTGCCCAAACCAGTATAGAGGTTTTAAAAGTGAAAGCCAGGACTTTGAATTGTGTCTGGAAACAAAATGGTGATTTAGTTTGCTTCTTGTTTTCTTACTGATACCATAGGTCTGGTACAGCTGCCTGGAAACAGTTGAAAATGAATATTTTAAATTAGCCTAACTGTAACATGACTGCCAGAGACATTTTATGCAAACAACTGAAATATGATTCTGGCTGCGTACTGGTTTGGATGCACATATTTGTTTGTATTGACCTAGGATCTCTAATGACAATTACTGCAGAGCCACATATTAATTTCTGTACTGCTTTGGTAGTAGGGAGTTCTTATTGTGCCATGCAGTGGGCAGAATCTTTGATTTGGATAGGAAAAACATCGCTTCCTATTCCCACACATTTAGAGGATGCCCGATTCCCCATCTGACTGAAGTTTTGTGAAAATAAAATAGTGCTGGGTGTCCCATTTCAGTTAACACAAGTAGAATATTTTCTGATTAAATCTGTATTATTCAACAATGTAAGAAACCACCTGGATCAAAAGCTTCCTATTGTTTGTTGCTCTTGAAGTGAATATTTGCTAAATTAAATCCCTTTTGTACCTGAACTAGAGAAAAGCAAAAGCTGTGTTCATATATGCAGCTACAATTTGCATTGGAATCATGCTGAACAATTCCCTCTCCTCATAGGACTGCCTTGTATAAATGCTGCAGAAAGATATCATTCCAGTTTTTTAGAGGTAGGCAGAAAGTAGATCTCCAGATGTTTTGGACTTCATATCCCAGCATTCCTGCCAACTGGGCCATGTGGGCAGGTGCCTCTGGGAGCTGAATATTTGGAGATTTTTCCATGCCTCCGTTATCCGTCTCAGGCCTCAGCCTAAAGAGGGATTGACTGTGGATGCCCAGCTTGGATTAGTGGCTCCTTAAGTGTCACACACAAACAGATGGCACCAATCTGTGTAAAATTTGTATTTGCTTATTTAGAGCTGTATATGTATATTAGGTGGCAATAGCTACAATTTAAGCAGAAGTACAGTACAAAATTCAAGGGGGGAAACACCGATGAGATGATCCTGCATGTCTGGTTCCGGTGCTCCCTGTTGGTCGGCAACTACAAGGCCCCTGAAGAGAAGTCAACTGTAAACTTAGCCATGGTCTGATGCTCCAGCCCTCCCATTCTATTCTCAGCCACCCCATCTTGACAGGGAAGGTCTACAAAGGGCGCCAAGGAGACGGTCGCCATGCCTGGCCATGTGGCACATTGTAAGGACTTTCACCTGTATGCACTCACATTGTTCTCCTGCATCTTCTCAGGAAACATGAGGAGGTCAGGAGTGAAGGGGTGAAAGATAGCATATGCCCCCTCTCACTCCTGGGCTGCCCAAGGTGAATAATGAGTTGGACCCTGCTTCGATTCAGGACTGGTCGGCTAAATCTGTCTTGAGTGCTGTTGATAGCACAGCATCATCCACCACTCCTGAAGGCAGCAAGTTAACTTAGAGAAGCTGCTTGGTCCACAGCTTTCTCTTCCTCCATCTGGCTGCTGCCTCCCAGCATCAGCTACCTGAGGCAACTCTTCAGTCTGCCCAAGAGCCAGGCCGACCCTGCCGCTTCCATGCTTCCATTTAGTCTTTCTTTGGTGAATGTTTGACAAGGGCTCCTGCCTTGTTTGAATCTGCCTGTAGAGACAAACACA